TCCTCATAGAGGACAACCTCCCATTCGATATGGTCCTAGGAATGGACTGGGGAGAGGCAGCAGGGGCCACACTCCATCTAAGAGAGCACGAGTGTAGGCTCTCTAGCCCATCAAGCGAAGTTAAGATTGCTCGCCTGTTCCATGGGTCAGGAGTAGATAACACTCGAGCACATTGTTGTCTCAGTGCTACTGCGTTCGCGCGATTAGTGAAGGAGGAGCAACTAGAAGAACAAGTTTGTGTAGCCTATGTTACGCCTATCACTGAGCCTAAGGAAGAGGAACCCACTAATCCAACTCTTGCCAAGTTGTTGGAGGAATACGCAGACTTGTCTGAGCCGCCTACAGGAGTAGTGCCGCGGCCAATCCAGCATCGTATTGAGATAGAGCCTGGCAGTAGGACTCCTAAGGGAGCCATTTATAGAACGTCCCCAAGGGAGTGGAGTTGCGTAAGCAGCTCGATAAGCTCCTCGAAAAGGGTTGGATTAGGCCCAGTTCATCTTCGTTTGGAGCACATGTTCTGTTTATCCCCAAGGAGGAGGGAGAGCTTCGAATGTGCACTGACTATAGGGGTCTTAACGCTGTCACAATAAAGAATGGAGAACAACTGCCTTGCATAGATGATCAGTTAGATCGGGTGTAGGGCTGCAAGTACTTCTCTAAGATAGACTTGAAATTTGGTTACACGTACTTCTCTAAGATAGACTTGAAGTTTGGCTATCATCAGATAGAGGTGCATCCTGATGATCACTATAAGACGGCGTTTCAAACTAAATATGGGTACTATAGTTTATTGTGATGCTCTTTGGACTAACCAACGCGCCAGCCACATTCCAGCGTTGTATGAACGATTTGTTTAGATTGTGGTTAGATAGGTTTGTAGTTATATATCTAGATGATATTCTAGTATTTAGCAAGACCCTCCAGGAGCACGAGGGTCATCTGAGGCAAGTCTTGGAGAAGCTGAGGAAAGCTAATTTCAAGATCAACGTGAAGAAGTGTGAGTGGGCCACGACGCAAGTTCTGTAGTAGGGCCGCATCTTAGATGGAGATGGCATAAAGCCTGAGGACAGTAAGATAACAACAATTAGAGACTGGCCAACTCCCCGCACATTCACAGAGTTGCGGTCGTTCTTAGGCCTAGCAAACTATTATAGGAAGTTCGTGAGGAACTTCTCTACCGTTGCTGCACCCCTTTGCAGGTTGCGAAAGAAAGAAGCGATATGGGAGTTGGATCGAGACTGTACATAGGCCCTAAAGAAGTTAAAGCGGGCCTTAATAGAGTATTTAGTCCTCAAGGTAGTCGATCGGTCCTTGCCTTTGTTGTCACTACTGATGCAAGTCAGTACGGTACAAGTGTTGTTTTACAGCAAGATGATGGCAATGGGTATAGACCCGTAAAGTTCATGTCTACTAGGATGCCTTCAGAGAAGGTAGCAACATCTACATACGAAAGGGTACTCGCTCTCAAGCAAGCGTTAGATCATTCGAAGCATTACTTGCTTGGGAGGCGCTTCAAAGTTTATTCAGACCACGAGACGTTAAGGTGGTTGAAGACTCAGGCCAAGATGACACCTAAGCTTAGTAGGTGGGCCGTAGAGATAGACCAGTTCGACTTTGAACTCAAGCCAGTTAAAGGAAAGTACAATGTAGTTGCGGACGCTCATAAGCAGAAGAGTTGATTACTTTGGAGCGATTGTTCACTATATGGACATAGGGAAGGATCTGCAATAGAAAGTCCGAGAAGCGTATGCGCAGGACCCTATTTATAGTGATCTCCTCACGAGAGTTAGGAGTCTCCAGAGTCCGAACCAAATTACCGCACTACAAATGGGTTGATGTTTAAGAAGACTAATGTAGCTGCTCGGTTATGCGTTCCCCATAGTGAAGAGATCCGAAGCCTGATCTTAGGGGAATGCCACGACACAGAGGGATATTCTGGTTGGCAGAAGACGTTAGCCAGTCTTATTCGCGCGTATACGTGGCCTGGTATGAAGGCCGACTGCATAGAGTATGTACGCAACTGTAAGGCGTGCCAACGAAACAAGACCACTACGCGAGCCCCTCTTGGTCGTCTCAGACCCTTGCCTATTCCTACAGGACCTGAAGATTCTGTGTCCATTGACTTTATGGATGTTGGGGTGAGGAGTCGGCATGGTAAGAGCCAAGTCATGGTAGTAGTCCATAGGTTTAGCAAATACGCAATTTGTGTTCCTTTACCCTCTGAGGCACAAACATATTTAGTAATAGACAAGATCTTTGATCATTGGGTCAGTGAGCATGGTTCACCATTGTCGATAGTTAGTGACAAAGATACCAGGTTCACTAGTCAGAACTGGCAGGAACCGATGAGAGTCTACGGCTCTAAGTTGTTCTTGTCGTCCGGTCGTCATCCAGAGACTAACGGTCAGACTGAACACATGAAGAAAATCCTGCAACAAGTTCTTAGGATGTACATTAGACCCGATCAAGTCAACTGGGATGAGATGCTCCCAAAGGTAGTCAGCGCATATAACAACAACGTGCATTTAGCCACTTGTCGCACTCCCAACGAATTGCATAAGTCCTTTAAACCGCGCAGGCCGTTCGAAGGACTGAACCAGGATCAGATCCGAAGGCTACCACCCGACACTAGGGAGTTTGCGTTGCAGCACGAGAAAGAGATAGCTACCGAAGTTGAGAACCTCAGGAAGGCCCAGCACGAGCTGATAGAACAAGCCAACAAACACTGTCGCCCATCGCAGTTCCAAGTAGGCGACTTAGTCTGGGTCAAGTCAAAAGAGTATGCTCCTGAGGAGAACATCTCACAGAAGCTATTGCCTGCATATAGAAGACCGTGGCCAGTCCTAGAGGTCAAGGGCGGAGAGGATGGACCGTCCTACACAATAGAGATTCCAACACACCTCCACACCTACCCGATTTTCCATGCATCAAAGTTGTTGCCTTGTACTACCAAGTCCACTGTTCCCATCACAGAGGTCCATGATCCCTTCGAATATGGATGGAGGGTATGACATTGATCACATAGTAGGTGGGGGTGTATTCACAACAGGAGGTAGAGGTGGTCCACAGAAACAGTATAAAGTTAGATTCTCTTACCAAGAGCCAGAAGACGACCGCTGGTTTACCCGAACAGAGCTTCTAGAGACTGATCCGAGCCTATGAGAGAGAAAGGAAAGGTAAAGGCCCTGCCTTGGAGTGAAGTATTCTCGGAGGACCTCAAATTTAGGCCGGCGGGAGTGAAACGGTTTCCACCTTTGCAGTAGCAGATGTGGATCCCAGGGCTCGATCCCTAGCCCTGTTCTCACCCGTGTACAGTATCAAGTCGACCCTGTGTGTTTGAACCCGCAACATGTGTCTTGGTAGTTGACCTATGTCTGTCGTAGGTTCATGTAGTTATCGGGTTTCGATCCGTAGGTCTGTGTTGTGTAGGGGCCGCAGCTGTGCAGGGGTCGTAGCTGTAGCAATTCTGAAAGGTCAAAGACAAAGCTGCTACAGTTTCGAAAGGCCAAGTCTACAGACTTCCGAAAGGTCCAGAAGTGGCCTTTGAAGCATTGCTCACGTTAGACCAGAGGCAAGTGGGCAACTGGGTAGTCCAACTTTGCTTAGTCAGCGGTACCCAGTCCCAGTCTCACTTTGTCGAGTCAGCAAGTACCATGTGGGACTGTGTGCACCGTGGGCCCGGTGGAAAAGAGCAGACCAGAGACGAACGGAAGTATAAATCAAGAGGCAGTGTCCAGCCATTCATTCAAGTATAAATCAAGAGGCAGTGTCCAGCCATTCATTCATTTTCTGTGTGAGCCATGCGGAAGCTCTGCCCGAGCATCTTCTGCGAGGTGGTCTGCAGATGCCCGAAGTCGAAGTGAGCTGCGGAGGAGATAAAGTGGCCATCGCTGCTTGTAGTTGGTAGAAGGCGGCCATAGCTGCCATAGCTAGCGTTAGTTAGTGGCGCATGTGTGTGTGTGTGGGGTACAGAGTGAGAGTGCGTGGGACATCCAGGGAGATCGGGAGTAGAGTGCGTGTGAACAATTGCTGTGAATACAGGGTCGGAAGGGTGATGTGTACTTGAAGCGAGTTTGCATCTGAACTGTGTTCTCGGCCTTGATATCTCTGAGCTTTGTGTGGGCGCATCGTCGCCAGTGTGATTTGCCACCTGTTTGCATGCATCCGGACTAAGGAAGAAGACGGGTCTGATTGCACACCGCTAGAATATAGATAGAAACATTGCCATCTTTTTTGTCTTTTTTTTGGCAGGCCGCTTTCTTCGTCGACGATTTTTTGCAATAAGGTAAGATGGGGAATTTTTTTTTGAAAGGTCATTTGAGACTGCCTCTGGATGTGGTCTCACAGGTTGCTGACAAAAAGGTCACCATTTGAGGCATTTGGGTAGCGGGCCTCTCCAGTGTGACCCGAAAACTGACTCAAATTTTGGGATTTAAAGTCATTTGGTCCTCGTGTGAGTATGCCCTGAGGAACTGGTGCCCAAACGAATCTCGCTTAGAGAAACGGCCACTGGACCTGCATCGGTCCCATGCTGCGGGCAGATACACTCGTACTACCGGGAAAACCACTGAACCAGACCGAACCAGGGACTGAGGCTACCAGAAAAGCAATGCTGAGGCCCTACTGGAACAAGGAACCCCTTAATCCCCTAGCCAACCCCTAACCTACTACCGGTCCCAAGGGGGCCCGTGTGGTGCATACCACACACAGTTTGCCAGCTGCGTGGACACTGTGTTATGTCTTTCCTACTCTACATTATCAGCTGCAGAGAGTTTCACCTTCCTACCACCTCAACCCCTTTCTCAACCCCTTTCCCCCTGAAACAAGACACATGGCTGTGGGCATCCGTAGACCATATTAACAACAATAATGCCCATGATCCACCCAAGCAACTATTTCAGTTATATTCTATTCACTTGGGGTGAGGCAGGTTTCTCAAAACAACAGGGGTTAAAAGAAACAGGAAAGAGGAAATACGTTGGTTCTTTTCCCGCAATTACCTTTTGATCATCAGATCCCGACACAAGGAGAGTTCCTGACTTGTTCCAGGAAATTGTATTCACACATCCAGTGTGTCCCTGTAACACAAACACACACATACGGGTAAAAGCATAACAGAGACATGCATACACGCCTCAAACCACAAATAAATACACACATGCATGCAGACACACAAGCTCAGGAATGCACAATCACAAACACACACAAATGCAAGCAGAGAATAAGGACAATGGACATGTTTTGTCACCGGGTTCCATCTCCGATTTCCAATCTGGGTTTTGCTTTCCAGGAGATGAAGAGGTGTTACTTCCCAGGAGATAGAGGTGTTAATTGCAATTTGCAATTCGAACATAGCTGCAGTTGGTACTGTGTTATACCCTGTTCACAGCCATTAAAATTTTACATCCTCACAAAGATAGTAACAAAGGGAGCATTTCAGTGAAAATGTGCCACGCCTTTTCAAAATAAAAGGGCCTTTACCCGATATAGGCCTCAGGCCTTGTAAAAATAAAGCAGTATGGGCCTTGAAAAGGTAAAGCATTGTGAAAAGGTATCTCGCCAGAGCTCAGAAACGTGAAAGCAGGTCAAAGGTCAAGTTCTCTATCAACAGGCATATCTAAAGCTAAGGCAAAGGGCATTGTCAAAAGACTTACCTGTTCACCAGGAGATGTGTATGTCATGTCTGTTTGGGTAAGAGTGTGTCTGTACATGCAGGCAGTGTACCTGTTCGTGCAAAGTAAAGTGTCTGTTCAAGCAGTAAATGTGTCTGTT